CTCATTGGGAATCATTATTATTTTGATTTATCAGCAGCGTTCGTCTACTTTGTCTTTCCGAGTGACGACTGATTATCACGACTGGGCACATTGCAGTTTGGTATCAGAGCATTCACTTCCGACATTGTCTTCACGGCGATCGCGTTGTTCTGACGCGCTATGATTACGACACGCCAGTTTCTCTCCAAGGTCGCGCGCGCCAGGTAAGTAAGTGACCGGATACTCTCTCTTTCGCGACATTATTGTCGCGCGTGTTTTTCAACACGCTGTCTAGACATTGAGCCCGACGACGTGCGCGACGGGCATGGTGATGACGGGCAGATTATCTGCCAATGATGATTGATTGCTGACGTGGCACATCCACGTCCATTGAAGATTGGAGCAGGGAACTTCTACTCATGCGCTGATGATGTCTCGCCGACAATATAGAGTTGCCGCATTGCTATCTCACCAGCCAGAGACGATTGGAGCTGATTGATTGGCTCCTTGATTACTCGCTGGCAATGGCGAGATCCGCCGCTGACGTGGCAGACTTGATTGAACTTGGGATGCGGCGAGAAGATTTGTGAAGCGCAGCATTGTTGGAGTTCACCTTCACGAACGGATCTGGGTAACGGAAAGAAGTGCAGCGCCCAGCATTCCTTGCTGAAGCCACCCCCCCCCACGATCTTGATTGGTTCGATGTGCTGACTTGGCGAAAGTTGAGTTGGCATACCGGGGGTTGGCTGACGCAGGCACGGCCTGCCTTGGGAAACGATTGATGCATTCCGACGTTGGGAGAGGCATAGACTGTGACTTGTGGTGCTTACCTGCTGTTGGGGTGATTTGAGTGCATGTTGACGTGGCCTTGTGTGAGGGGAAGACTGACGTTGATTGGTTGTGTTGTCGGTACTGACCTGTTGTCTAGCTGTGTATGTACTCATACCTGTTGGATGCTAACGACATAGGCCTGCTCGATTACCTGGAAATAAAGACGTCACACGAATAAGAGAGAAAAACAAATCAGAACAACATATCAATCAAGAAAATAATAAATTATTTTTATTTATTTATTTTCTTGTGAATTCTTTGCTGTACCAATATTGAGTTGCTGGCCAGTTATCAATAATATTGTCTGTTTTCTTTTATTGAGTAAGATTGGCCTGTTAAGTTTCCTGTTGACGTTAATCATGACACCGATTGTTCAACACATGCGTCAGTCTCTGCTGACCAGGTGGGTGCCTCATCTGTTCGGTCTTGGGCACGTGCCTTATGCGGTGGGAGCAGGTAGCTCTTCGATGGAACCGCGTACACGTGCCCAAATCGAGGCACGAAGAGGTGAATTGGGAGAACTTCTCTCCCAGCTGCTGGTGGACATGGAATTCGCTGTCCCGGCCGCAAGAGAACACATCCGTGGTAAGTTTGACCTTGAAGTGATCTCTGATCGCTTTGCCAAAGCTACCACGAGTGTAGAGATGGTGGCGGCAGCAACAGAGATCCATAAAGTCATTGCCTAGTGTCGTGAGATACTGGACCAGTTCACCATCCAGCAGTTGGAAGAGATTGCCCAACGGAAAGATACCGTGCCAGAAGTAAAGATGAAAGTATTGAAGAGAACATACAACAGTTGAAAGAGACACTCGCAAAAGAAGAAAGGAAGCGGGAAGAACTGTTGCAAAGAAAAGAACAGGAAACTAGGTTGCAGCAGAGAATGGGTAGAGTTCAGCAGCACGTTTCCTTAGATGAAAAAGATGTTGCTCAGGCGCTCGGACAAATATTGACGTATTTGACTTTTCTTGAAGAAAAGTTAGACCAACAACAATCTAGAATGGATGAATTCGTTGTTGGCCTTCATGTCATTACTAGCATTGTCAAGGGGAAAGCCCCTATGCTTGAAAATGATGAAGATAAAGAAAGAAGAGCAGACGTCAAGCCCGAGAAGTTGCTTATTGGTGGAGTGAAAAACAGCGACACAACGAAGAAGGAAACGGTAAAAGAAACCGAGAAGAAACCGGAAGAGAAACCGAAAAAGAAACCCAACGGGAATGGTGATGGAAACGGGAATGGAGACGGGAATGGAAACGGGAATGGTGGTCCCAACGGTCCCACTCCCCCTCCTAAGAACAATGCCAAACCCGCAGATCCGACTAAGCGAAGGAAAAAAGAAAAAGTGAAGATGAAATTACCTTTCACTTTTTCTAATAAGAAAGAAGAAAGCCTTCCACTCTGGATCGCAGAGATCCAGACCTATGTTGGGACTGCACCGGTAGAAGAAGAGTCGCAAGTTGCGTTCACCACTTCTTGTATGGGTGGTGAAGTGAAGCAGTGGGTTCTGGCGGAGGCGAATGCCGCAGGGTTTGACGATATAGGTGAGTGGGCGAAGACGATGACCTTGAAGCAGTTCCTTGCAAAGGTCAAGGACCGCTTCTTGGACAAGACCACGGGCGATAAGGCCTTCGACCAACTCACCTCGATAGGACAGAAGTCCTGGTCTTCCTTTGAGTCATTGTCTCGTGAGGTGGAACGCCTGTTGCAGGTTCCTGGTCTTAACCTGCAGGACTCTCAAGTCCTTTATATCTACTCCCGCGCGTTGCCCGAACCGATACGAGGGCACTTGGTCGCCGAGGCCAAGTCAGGTAAGTATACCTACCACCAGTTCCGCGAACTTGCATTGCAGCGGGAATTAACGACTTCGCAAGTCAAAGGTTCCTATGCTGCTGCCGTAAAGAATGGAGGAGAAGGCGGTCGAGGAGGCTACGGCAAGCGGGTCATATGGCGTCAAAAGCGCCAAGACCACACCCTCGTCGTATTCGACGACGATACAATGGAGAAATGGCCATTGGAGTCCGAGGGTGGTGGTGAGAGCAACAGTGACTCCGGAAAGGGGGAGATCACTGCTGCGACGGTCAACAAGGGAGGACCGTCATCGAACACTCGACCGAAGGGAAGACCACGCTCCTTTCCATACCATCATGGGATTGCGGCCGGCAGATCGTGGCTGAAGATGGGACTAACCCGGGAGGTGTGGCAAGATAGAACGGATAATGCGCAGTACCTCAAATGTGGCACTGCGGGGCATGTCATTGCCTTTTGTCCGTTGATTAGGAATTCAAAAGGGAGCAGCCAGTAGGAATAACATCTGTTCCTACAGAGCCGGAGAGTGCGATCACATGCAAGGCGCCTACGATCCCTTTCCACACTCCGACTCCCATGGCAGAGGATGGAAACCCTTCCGCCCGTCGTTCAAATATCCCCACTCCTGTCTTATGTCTGTCTCTGGACGACTCCCTTGACGAGCTGGGTAGCGAGCTAGCTGCGTTACGCAGTTCGTGGGCGAAGAAAGCCAAGTCTAAGGGGGAACTATTGATTGCCGATTTGGTTGTCAATCGCACACACGTTGGTGCGATGCTGGACCCTGGGTCCACACGATCTTACATGTCTGAACGTGCAATCCGCAAGTTGCACCTCGGCATGAAGATCCAAACGTTAGCTAGGCCAATCACATCTATGTTGGCTGACAAAAGCACGATGACGGTAACGCAGTACGTTGATCGTGTTCGATGTCAGTTCAGTACTAAGGATGGGAAGAAGATTTGGCATGAGCTTCCCTTCCTAATCGAGAAGAACATGCCATTTGATATCATCTTGGGAATGGATTGGCACGAGGAAGCTGATCCCAAGATTGAATTCAAACAGAAAGAAGTACGAATCAAGGATGAATCGTCTGAATTGCAATCAATTAAGTTGTATCATCGGTCAGGGTCTGATTCTGTCTTGTCTTTCTGTTGCATGAGCTACCCTGCATTCCGATCAATGGTTGCAAAGAAGAAGTTAGAGGATAAGGTAGTAATGTTGTTAGTTAAGAAAGTAGGAGAGTCTTCAACTACCCAACCTCCTGGCATAAATACACTCCTAACGGAGTTTGCCGATATTATGTCTGAGCCTACCGGGGTCACTTCGCGAGCTATCAAGCACACGATCGAGATCGTGCCTGGTAGCAAGGTTCCCAAGGGCCCTATCTATCGCATGTCTCCAAGGGAACTTGAGGAACTAAAGAAGCAATTGTCTGAGTTGACGGAGAAGGGATGGATTCGCCCTAGCTCCTCTCCTTATGGCGCACCTGTCTTGTTTGTGCCCAAAAAGGAAGGTGAGCTGCGCCTTTGCATCGATTACCGAGGGTTGAATGCCGTCACCGTCAAAAACGCCGAACCTTTGCCAAGGATCGACGATCTCTTGGATCAGTTGCAGGGTTGTAAGGTCTTTAGTAAGATCGACCTTAAGTCTGGGTACCACCAGATCGAGGTGGATCCGGCCGATTAGCATAAGACCGCGTTTCGTACGAGGTATGGTCATTACGAGTTCATCGTGATGCCATTTGGTCTAACGAACGCACCTGGGACCTTCCAAAGGTCCATGAACGAGTTGTTCAGGCAATGGGTCGACGACTTCGTCGTCTATCTGGATGATATTCTAGTATATAGTAAAACACTAGACGATCACCAGAAACATCTACGTCTAGTACTCGGGAAGTTACGCGACGGTAACTTCAAACTCAACCCAAAGAAATCCGAGTTCGCTAAGTCTGAGGTCCTATACTTGGGACATATAGTGAACGAGGAGGGATTGAGGCCTGAGGAAAATAAGATCTCRGCAATCAGAGATTGGCCGCAGCCAAAGACTCTGACAGACCTTCGATCTTTTCTTGGTTTGGCGAGTTACTATAGGAAGTTCGTTAGGAACTTTTCTGTTATCGCTGCACCAATGAGAAGGTTGCTTAAGAAAGGTACTGCTTGGCTATGGGATAAGGATTATGATTTGTCTTTCCGAAAGCTGAAATATGCTCTAACTCACTATCCTGTCCTCAAGATTGCCGACCCGTCTCTTCCTTTCATTGTTACGACTGACGCAAGTCAGTATGTTGTTGGCGCTGTCTTACAGCAAGACGACGGCAAGGGCTACCGCCCTATTGAGTTTATGTCTAAACGACTGCTGTGCGACAAAGTCGCCAACTCCACCTACGAAAGAGAGTTATATGCATTAGTCTGTGCCCTAGAAACGTGGAAACACTATCTCCTTGGCAGACACTTCACTGTGTACTCGGACCACTCGACTCTAAAGTGGATCAAGACACAACCTCGATTGTCTGACAAGTTGGTGCGTTGGTTTGCTTTTATTGATACCTTTGATTTCGAACTCAAAACAATTAAAGGTAAGTCTAATGTTGTAGCAGACGCACTATCTAGGAGGAGCGACTTCTTTGGGGCTATCGTCTCTTACCTGGATGCTGGGAATGATGTGAAAGCTCAGATTCGCGCTGGATATGCCACTGACCCTGTCTGGAAACCAATCATGGATATCCTAGTCAAGGATCCATCCCAATTTCCTCACTACCGATTGTCTGATGGCTTACTCTTCTTGTTGGACCAAACTGAATAGAGATTATGCATTCCTCACAAGGAAGAACTTAAAAGTCTGCTGATTGGGGAATGTCATGACACAGAGGGACACTTTGGTTTCAAGAAGATGTATGCTGAAGTACGTGAGCACTATGAATGGAAGGGTTTGAAAGAGGATGTGCTAACATATGTTCGTACATGCCAAGTATGTCAGAGAAACAAACCGTCTACTGAGAAACCTTTGGGGTTACTCCGACCACTACCTATATCGAGTGAACCAAGTGAGTCTGTATCCATTGACTTTATGAAACTCACCAAGTCCCAAAATGGCAATAGTCAAGTTATGGTTGTGGTTGATCGTTTCTCTGAATATGCTATGTTCATACCCTTGCCTGCGGAAGCCAAGACCGAGCTTGTGATTGCTAAATTTCAGATGCGATGGGTAACTGAATATGGGTTCCCTATGTCTATCGTCTCTGACCGCGATGTCAGATTCACAAGCATGCCTTGGCAGAAATTGATGGAAGYCTAYGRTACMCGGCTCACCATGTCGTCAGGTAGACACCCTGAAACGAATGGACAGTCTGAGCAAATGAACCGTTTAGTCCAACAACTTCTGAGAATGTATGTCCGTCCTGACCAAATAGACTGGGACGAGAACTTACCGAAGATTGTTGGTGCCTATAACAATAGTGTGCATACCGCTACGGGACGCACACCTAACGCATTGCATAAAGGCTGGAAGCCTAAGCGTCCCATAGATGTTCTAACAAAGGACCAGTTTCTTAGACTTCCACCAGGGACTAAGGAATATGCCATTCTGTTTCAAGAAGACATCAAAAAGGTAAAAGAAAATCTAAGGAAAACCCAGAACGCATGATTGAACAAGCTAATAAACACTGACGCCCGTCTACTTTTCAAGTTGGTGACTTGGTCTGGGTTAAGTCCAAAGAATTTACTTTAGAAGAAGATGTTTCTTAGAAACTGATGCCTGTCTATCTAGGACCCTGGGAAGTTCTCAAGGTGATAGGGGATGCCGATGGACCATCATACCGGATTGACATTCCCCCTCATCTTCGGACATACCGCGTCTTTCACGCGTCTAAACTGCTTCCATATGTAGAAGGAACAGAATTTCCTCACCGACCATCTGCCATACCTCCTTCTATGAATGGCAGCTATGTGGTTGAGAAAATTACTGACCATGGATTCTTTTCTACTGGTGGAAGAGGCAGACCTCAAAAGCAGTATAAAGTGAGATTCCAGTTCCAAGATGCCTTTGAAGACCGTTGGTTTAGCAGACGGGAACTGATGGATACTGCTCCTGATATTGTTGCTAGCTATGAACGCGGACTGAAGTCTAAGTATTTCTGCGGTGGAACTCGAATTCGGGCCGGCAGGAATGCAGTAAACCGCGTTCAGCAGCGGCCTGGGCGCTGTAACCCAAGCCCAGGCCCAGCGAGCAGTGCAACCACGCGCTGCTCGGCCTCAGGCCGCT